GAGGCAGTGCAGGATTGGGCACAGCCTAAGAGTGTGTTTGAGATCCGCAGTTTCCTGGGGTTAGCTGGGTATTACCGTCGGTTTGTGAAAGACTTCTCCAGGTTAGCTGAGAGACCAGTTCTGCCAGCTTAAGCAGTCGAGTTCTTCAGTGGCCGAGTTTGAGGCTACTTTTACCAGTCTGTCTAGGTTTGCACCTGAACTGGTGGCGTCTGAGGAACGCCGCTGTATTGAGTTTGAGAAGAAGTTGAGGCGTGGCCTCAAGCTGAGAGTTGGGGGAACTATGATTCGGGATTATGGGCGTATGGTTGATGCTGCAGCCCACATGGAAATTATGATGCAGGAGGAGGAGGAAGGACAGAAGGGCTTTTATTTGTATAATTAATTCATGGAATTGGGAAAAGATGGATAAATTCATGGAATTGGATAATTTGAATCATTTGTCTATTGAATTGTTGACATAGTTATTTTCAGTTTAGAAATAACTGTTTTGGGCTATCGGTGGAGGATAGTCGTGATTGTTGTAGGTATTGCATGTGGATTAGGAATAACTGAAACTAATCATATTGGTTAAGTCATTAATTTTGATTATTGCATTGATACAGAAAATACGTGTATTGCTTGAGCATTGCATTTGCATACATTGTTTTTGTGTGGGAGGAGATAGTGGATGTACTCCACGGTTTAGGGGAAGATAGGGGATGGACCTCTAAACCGGATTTTTGTTTGGGAGGAGATAGGGGATGGACTCCATTAGCATCACTTTTATGTGTGCTTATTTATATTGAAGTGTTTTGATTTGAGCTTGAGTCTCATTTGTTTGTTGATATTGGAAGGATGTGAATATGATATATGTAATTCACTGTTGTAAGTTTGGCCAGGTTCTGAGCCATGTTGATAAAGTTGGAAAGTAAAACGTGTCTTAGACAATAGTGTCATGAGACTATAAACTGAAGTAATTGTTTATCTTGGTTAACCATCTGTTGAATGCTATTGTTTTATTCATTGCTTATATGTGGTTTAGTATATTTCTATTGGGCTGTGGCTCACCCTTTATGGGAACATCATTTTCAGGTTCAGGTGATAAGCTACCTCCAAGGACTTAGCTTGGAAGGACTTGGATTTTGAAGACTATTTTTAGTTATTTGTTTTTCATTGTTAGTACATGTAAACACTCAAGCCTAGGGCTTTATTTATATTTGAGTTAGAACTCATACTTTGTGTCCAAGTGTTGGCTTGGAAAGATGTAAGCCGGTAGGGCATTTACTTTGATGTTACATGTAATCTTTTGTTTAGTAAGACTCAGATGGACATTATAATGAATTATTAAAGTGTTTTCTTTAAATAATGCATGTCAATGATATATATAATGAGTTTATTTTTGAGGGCGTTACACCAAGGCCAAGGCTACTGATGCCGAGGCTGAGGATGCTTTGCCTATCTCTCAACTGGCTGAGAGCAAAAAGGCTATTATTTGAGGGCGTGACATTCTCTCATAGATGCTAATCTAATTACTAACAACTAACATTTGCCCAAAAAAAAAAAGTGTTAAAGGGCTTTGAATAATATCAAGATGAAATGCACAAGTTGACTTTTTACTTTTTGATTATTTTAGTTTGAGACTAAAAAATTTATTTAGATTGTCTTATTTGACTATTATGAGAAAAAAAAGTGAAATGATTATAATTTAAATGTGACATTTTGTCCTGATTTTTTAACCTATTTTATCTTTAGTGACTAAATTAGCCAATAATCCCATTGCCAAAGGAAGCCATCTTTACAAGTTTAAAGTTGGCTTGTTTAATTGATTACATTATTTCTTCTGCAGTATTTCGGATTATACCAACAACTCTCATCCTTCACTTGACCCATGGGCCATTGATGGTTCAAGGAAACAGTAGCTCCAGAAGATACAACCCCCACTCTTGACATTTGCCTCAGAACATGCCTCGAGGGCAAGAGTACCCTTCACAGCAGGCGCAATTAGTTGCATCTGTACTAAGGCTATTAGATAGTATGGAAGTAAAATAACACACCGAACTCACAACATTTAAGGAAGAGCCATCTCTTTAATTCACTGTGTGGATTGGAGCATATTGTTGAGCCTATGGAGTTTATTGCGGGTCACATTTCAATAATTTAAACCGTTCAATGTGTAGACCTCATCAAGTACTTCATGCCTACAAAAAATCAAGTTGATCAGATATCAGTAGGCCTTTGATTGGAATATATTTTTGTTAACAATTTATTTTCAAAATTATATTTACCATTGAAAAAAATGTATTTCGATCAAGAGGCTACCGATATCCGATCAACTTAATTTTTTGCAGCCATGAAGTACTCGTCGAGCTCTACACATTGAACAGTTTGGATTATCGAAACAGGACCCGTGGTGAGTTCCACAAGCCCAAAAGTATACTTCAATCCACATTGTTAGTGAAGTTATTGTACCAACCACTTCCTACTCAACTGTTTTCTGCAAATATTAATCAATCAGTTCTGTTTTTTTTCTCCTCTCTACTTTTGAGAGCTTCTTTCTCTACCCTTTTCTTCTTCTAGGGTTTCCTCTTTGAGCGCCGTTGGGGGTGGGGGAAGGGGGCTCCAGCCTCCGGCCGCCTCTCTCCTCCTCTCTACCCCCTTTTCTCTTCCATTTTCCTCTGCCATTTTCTGGTCAATAAGCTTTGGAAGCTTTGCTTTCCATCTTCTCCCTCCTTGTGAGGTGTGTTTCCCCTTTTGGTGGGTGCACAGTCTGTCTTTCTCCAATCTTCCTTCACTCTGCCTCACTCCAGTCGTAGCCCTCCCCAGACCCGCCGTCTACCTCCTATGTGCTTCACGCCGGCGTCGCCAACACCACATCGACCCCAACTCTGCCTGTAACACCCCGTATTTTGAGGTATTAATATTTAGTGAGTGGTATTGGTGGTTTATTATTTAATTTAGTGGTGAGATTTCTAGATAAGAATTTAATTTTAAATTATTTATTTGTATTTATCTCATCCCTTTTATATTTGTCATATAGTTATTTGTTCTCATTTAATAACAAATCTTATCATTTCCCATCACATAAAAAAAATAAATAAATAAATAAATAAATAAAAAAAAAATTGGAAAAGACAAAACCGTGGGCTATCCACAGTTTTCCCACCTATCACCCTAAACCAACCATTTTCTTTTCTTATAAATTGAACCCTCTTCTCCTCCTTTCTACGAACACTCAACTTCATTTGTCTCTCATTTTTTTTCTTTTCTCCTACTTTCAACTCTCTCTCCATTTGTGATGTAAATTTTAAGTTTAGACATAGGAATATTTAAATTAAGAGTTAGTAATTTTACAAGAGATCATAATTATTTTTGGAGATCCATGAAGCAATTTCAGATTTATGGTGATGGAATTAATTATTTTGAGGTAAATTCGGGTTGTATACAATATGCTCTATTTAAATCTCTTTGCAAAGAGTTCTCTATTTTTAATTATCCTCAATTTGTAATCCACTTGATTAATGTGGTTATTAATAGATTTTGTAAAATCATTTGTTCTCGAATCATTGATATTTTGATCATTTGGTAAAATTTTCTACAAATATATCTGTGTTAAATGGTGATTTGTCTGACTGAATGACATGGAAATATTCCGTACATGGATCGAGTGAATCTTATTAATTGTTTACACCAATATGCCCGGATAAGCGTGGAGCTTGGGTGAGGTGGGTGAATAAATGAATTTATTCACTGGTCATGTACTGAGTAGGACCGGGTATTTGGTCCTAGATAAATTATGGTTGATTTGTTGTGCAATTTGGTAAATTGCTTTATTATCGTATCGATTTAATGTAATAAATTGTTGGATTCCTGTTAATTTATTCTGTATCCGAGCCTTGTATTCTTGTCGTATTGTATACTTCCCGAATTAATTTATTTTTCAGGTGTGTAGCAGATTTTAGCGAAGATCAAAATTGAGATATGAAAGATTTATTAATATAGAGATTTGGGACCCGCCACTGTAATTATTAAATTTGGAGATAGTTTTAATATTGTTTATTTTGGAGGTACTTAGAATATTTGAAGGATATTGTACTATTTGGAGACGATTTTATAATTATTATTTTTGGGAAAAAAACTTGTATTTTTTTTAAAGGCTATTTTAGTGTATTTAACGACCCAGGAGTGGGGCATTACACTGCCACTTCTCACCGGATCTGCTGCCTCCACACACCGACCTCCTTGGTTTTGGCTTATAGGAGCTTATGTACAAGCCCATGGTGGAAGTGTGCTAACCCACTGGTTTGTGGTTGAGTTTTGGTCTTTTTTGTTTTGTTTTTTGGTTTGGTTTTGCCTATGGAATCCATCAGTACTTGATGATGCTTACCCACTTTGTGGTTGTATTCTATGATCTATTCTCAGCATGCTCTACGGCCATTTGTTGGCCTCTGCTTGCAGTACGAGCACAAGCACTTGATGTGCAGCTGGGTTTTCTTCATAGTTTTACTCCTATGTTTTCTTTGTTTCTCTTCTTTACTTTGATGGTGTAAGTGATTTTTTGGATGGATTCTCTCCTTGTAAGTCCCGTTTGGCTACTTTAATGATATTCCTCCTCTGATAAAAAATAAAAAAAAAATCCATATAATACACTGGAAAAAAGCCTCTCTCAACATTTAAAGTCCCATTGAGATTAAACATACAATGATTACACATGTCATCACACTTCGACGCCGTGAATTTCGATTGGTCAAATAAACTTTGATGATCAACTCAGTAAAATTTTATTAAAATTTCACTAATTAAAGTCAATGAAATTTTGCTAGTCATTGAAATTTCTATGGCCAAGTTAGTAGTCAGTAAAATTTCATTGATTTTTTTTTTTTAAATTCATATTATTCATGAATCTTATTTGAAAGATCTTATCAATAGGATTCTAAAAATATAAATTTTACAAAAAATGAAGATGTAAATAAAATGTTATTAAATTTTATAATTTTGAAATCACTTAAACAATATAAGCTACTAAAATAATAACACTGAGAGATCTTAACTAAGTAGAGAAATTATCTTGGACTTTTTTTGCTATTCAAACAGTATGGAGGATATATTGTTAATTTTCCCTTACTTTTTTGGTTCACCTAGCTGAGTAGAATTTGAAAGTTTAAAACTTTTTGAGAAAATTACTAAAGACAGAAAAAAATCAATAAAATAGCTACTAAAATAGTCAATCCTAAACACACAATAAACCCATAAAAATAGAGCATTTCACTCATTCTGGTAATCATTTTTCTTCTTTCTTTCCACGAACTCTTTTATGTTTTTCTATGTAAAAATGAATATATATATATATATATATATATGTTACAAGGATTGGGTTTCTCTCATGTTGGCCATCTCAACTTCAGAGATTGTTTGGGCTTTGTAAGCTCATTTTGAAACCGATTTTGGTGATCCGAACCATTCACTTTTTAAGACTCATTAAGAAGAATATTCATGCAAAAAATAAGATGATCGGATATTGATAGCTATATGTTTGAATCAAATTTGTATTAAAAAATGAAAGATTATTATTAAAATTATATTTGTCATCCATTTTTTTGAAACAAATACGATTAAAATATATAGTTATCGATGTTCAATCATCTTAATTTTTTGCATTAATATTCTACGCAACAAGATTTAAAAGTGAACACAGTTCGAATTATTGAAATCGATTCCAAAATGTGTCTACTAAGTCTAATCGTTCTTTCAAATTGAGATGATAATTTGAAAGAAGACAAATCTCAGTTACAAAATGCAAGGGGCAGAACTTGGGTGTATTTGAGTTGAAAGCCAAGTGATTTTACTGTATTGTCTTTGAAAGTGGCTATGCAAATCTCATGTGGCTACTTATTCGTTTGGTCCATTAACGTGGGTTAATAAATGGAGTAAATTGAAACTTTACTGGAAGTTTTAATGGTGGATTGTCACTTTTAAAGGTCATGTGACAAAATAAGATTAGGCGTAAAGTGCACGGATGCCAAATGTAATTTGACCACATTTTATTCATACACAAAACTCCTCTATAACAACGTGATATAGATATTTTTTAAATTGTAAGTCACAAAAGGGTACATTACACTTTACACTCTTGCACTTTATATAAAATCTCATTTTAGTCCTATACATCAAATTGTGACACTTAAGCCCCTGCATTTTTGGTCAAGTGTCACATTGGCCCTTCTGTTAATAGTGAGGCTAACATAAATTATCCTTTAGTGAGCTAAGTGTCACAATTTTGATGTGTAGGGACTCAAGTGAGATTTTGTGTAAAGTGCAGGGGTGCAAAGTGTAATTTATCTTCACATGTTTTTCATATAACTAACCTCTGTTAACAATGAGGCTAACAAAAGGGTTAAAGTGACACTTGACCAAAAGTGTAGGGAGTTAAGTGTCACAATTTGATGTGTAGGGACCAAAGTGGAATTTGATGTAAAGTACAGGGGTGCAAAATGTAATTTACCCGTCACAAAAATACATGTTTTGTATGAAAAAATGAAAGTACAACGGGTGCCCATCATTCTAAAAATAAATATCAAAAAAATTTAAAATTTATTTATATAAAATTAGTCAACTAAAATTAAGGTGCTTGAATCATAATATATAGAATGGGTAAATTACACTGACATCCCCTAAGATTTTTATTTAATACAGATTCCTCCCTCACATTTGAAAAATTACACTTACCTCCTGTCAGATTAAAATGACATATTTGCTCCTTAGCCTTTATGCGTATAAAATACTCTCTCCGTACCAAAATAATAGCCTCTTTTGGGGAATCTAACTTTTTTTGGTAGTAAAATTATTGCTCTTTAAAAAAATTAAGTTTTCAAAATTACCCTTTGATAGCACATTTTTATAGGGAATATCAATTGTCATGATTGTACTTTCTATGTTAATAAATTTAAAAGAAGGACAAAATAGGAAATTCATATTATTTTTGTCCTTGATTTTTAAAAAGGAACTAATATTTTGGAAGAATGAAAAATGAAATAAGGGACTAATATTTTAGGACAGAGGGAGTAATACAGATATTTTTTTTATGTTATTTCAAGGAAAATAACAATCATCTTCTTTGGTTTAACTCATACAAAAATTTGAGTTTTTTATTTTTCGTGTTTTTTTATTTTTATTGAACTTTTTTAATATTTTAAGCAATTTTATTTTTTAGATACACCGAATCTAGATATACTTAAGAAGTATAATATTTTGTATTTTTTTATAAATTCACCAAATACAAAAATATATATATATATATATACAAAAAATTCAATACATTTTCTTATTTTGTTGTATTCAATGGATTTTTTTAAAGTTTTTTGTATAAATTTTATACTTTTTAAATATATCTAGATTAAATTGATCTAATATGAATATAATTGTGGAAATAAAAATGAAAAATTATATTCATATATAAAAATTTATACAAAAAATATCATAAAAATATTGTGATAGTGATATTGTTGTAAATATAAATCTTGTTTATGGGTGTTTTGTTTTAAAGTGAAATGTTACAATTAAGTTATATCATTATATTTGAAAATTCTACATAAAATTTATGTTTTTATATCATCACTCAATAAGAATATGTTCATGTAGAATTTAATGATGAAAAGTTGTAGAATATAGTTATGATGATAGGAAGAAAAAATGGTAGAAAAAATGACAAAATGGTCGTTTAGAAAATTTTAGGGGCATGACATCAGCAATTCAGAAATAATTTGTAATAAGATTACAAACCTCATGGAGAAGAATGTAATTTTTTAAATTTGAAGGAGGATCTGTATTAAACGAAAATTTCAAGCGATGTTAGTATAATTTACCCTAATAGAATGAACTTTCGTTATGAGTTTTGAAAAGAGTTTTGAATTGAGTTTAAAATGAATAATGTGATATATGATATTTAATTCAAAAACTTACAACTCATAACCAAACACACAATCTAAAATCCTATTCAAAGTTCATAAGAAATTTTAAAAATTTCTGAAAATATTTTTTATTTAAAATATAATAAAAAAAAAAAACCGAACACTGTTCCAGTCAACCAACCAGACGTCCGAAGGATGACTGGGTTAGCCAAATTTTCCCACCTGGAAAGGGGTTTTCAGAAGTGTAAAATTATAATTTGAAAACTCGAAACAAATACCATACTCATATCAATGGGTAGAAATGTGTTTGGAAAGCTTCTCCAAACACAGCGTTTGGTAGAGTTTTCTAAATATGATTGGATAATAGAATTGTATTTTGAGTTTTTGAGTTTTGAAATTATGATTTTAGTGTGGAAAATTTGTTTAGTTATGAGTTTTGAAAAGAGTTTTGAATTGAGTTTGAAATGAATGATGTGATATATGATATTTAATGCAAAAACTTACAACTCATAACCAGACACATAACCCATAATCCTATTCAAAGCTCATAAAAAATTTTAAAAAAAATCTAGAAATATTTCTTATTTAAAATATAAAATAATAGGTGAAAAAAAAAAACACGAACACTATTCCGATCAACCGGCTGGACATCCGAAAGGACAGCCGGGTTAACCAAATTTTCTCGCCTGGAAAGGAGGTTTCAAAAGTGGGTGTAGAATTATAATTTGAAAACTCAAAACAAATACCACACTGAAATTAATAGGTGGAAATGTGTTTGGAGAGCTTCTTCAAACACAACCAAATTTCCTCAAAGTTATCTCGTTCTCTTTGACGCGTTTCTCAACTAAAGGTATTTTGGAAAGATAGTTAAAAACTGATTTTTGGTTTTTAACCAAGCATTTGCCTTTTTTAGAAAAGCGATTTGGGAAGTTGGTAAAAAGTTGCTTTTGGCATTTTTGATTAATATTTAGTTATGATGTCACATCACAATAAAATAACTAAACTACCCCCATCCAATGTAGAAAATTTATATTTTCACCCATGTAAATATAAAAAAAAAACATAAAGGATATAATTATAATTTTATATGTATTTTTTTGGACTTGCCAAATGACTCACTAAAAAAAAGCCAACCTAGCTTTTTTAGCAAACAAGCTACAAAATAACTTTTTACTAAGTTGCCAAAAGAGCACCCAAACTTTCTTTATAAGCAATGGAAAGTAACTAGGTGTTGTTTGGGGGTGTCCT